GGGGAGGGGGGCGGGATGGGTGGGGGGGATCAATAGGGGAAAAAGGAGATATATGTAAAACTTTAGACAATAAAAAAAATAATAATAACGTAAAAAAGAATGCAACTGGAAATCACACCCTATATCAACAAGCAAGGAATCACAGCAAAAATGGGAAAACACAACCACTGATACTAATATTGACATGAGGCACATATTGAAACTATCACACAAAGATTCTTAAAAAGCTATGAAAATGTGTTACAATGAACATCGAAATTAAATTCGATGGTGGAGTAAGAAGTCCTGGCTCCTCCATCCCCCAACGAACACACCAATTCAGCAACACTTCACAGTTTCCCTTTGTGAGAAACCAGAAACAAATAGACAGCCTCCTGCACAACATAAAAGAGTGGAAAATCAGTTACCAAAGCCAGTAGGGAGTGTTGTGAGACCTTTTCACCAAAACTCTGCCCCAGAGCCCTGCCATATGATCAGAAAGACATCCTCTAGTTACCGTCCTACTGATGGGTGGGAAGTGGTTTGCTCACAAGTCCAGGGCCCTAATGTTTCTGAGGGGCTGACCCAAAGAACTAGTATCTGTGACAGGAGTCCTGGAGATGTTAGAAATAAGGTGAGTCCTCTAATTCAGGGGTTCTGGTAGAATGCAAAACATACTCAGGAGCCAGGCAGCAAGGCAAACATCTTTACTTCTTGTAGAAAGGTGAGCACACATGGTCTGGAAGTGCATGCACACAGAGCAGGCGGGCTGCTCGGCTTTATAACCCCTGATGCACGTGACCTCTCCCTTGCTCTTGATTGGAGCTCCGGCGCACAGTCTTTCGCAATTGGCTAATCCAAAGGGAGGGTTTGGCCTTTGTTATTTCAGATGGCAGCCTCCAGGGGAGCTGCAAGCCATGCAGCCAACATGGCCACTGCCAAGTCACGCAGTCCAAAATGGCGGCTGTCTAAAATGTCCTTTGACAGAAAAGATGACTTGTTTATTCTCACAATTCCACCCTATACTTTATTTAAACTCTTTTCCTCAAACTCAGCTAACATTCATTGACTTTCATGCTCTGCAGTGTCTAGGACAGCCGTGGGCAAACTATGGCTCGCAGGCCGAATCTGGCCCGTTTGAAATGAATAAAACTGAAAAAAAAAAAAAAAGACCGTACCCTTTTATGTAATGATGTTTACTTTGAATTTATATTAGTTCACACAAACACTCCATCCATGCTTTTGTTCCAGCCCTCCAGTCCAGTTTAAGAACCCATTGTGGTCCTCGAGTCAAAAAGTTTGCCCACCCCTGGTCTAGGAGGAGACTAATTTGCTGTTTGGTCAATGCCGTTTCAATTAACCCTTGGGTAAGACCCCCCTATACATGGGATGATGTAACATCCCATCACTGTAGCTCCTAATCCAAGGGGTGAATGTGGACACCATCGCTCTAGTGCATTAAAGAAAGGACCCTTGATACTCGGTTCCAGCTCTCTCGTCACTAAAGCTGTCGATGCCTTAGGGCCTCAGTGACGTCCGTCTGCTGTGTTGTCAGGGATGCGTGTACAGCACTGACCCCAACATTACACATCTTCCTCCTTTTTCTGCTTGTTCCCCCAGGTCACCCTGCTGCTGGCATCTAGCTCTTCACTATCCCTTTAACTGCATCTCAAGTGTAGTTAACAAGCCTTTGCTGGTGATAGTAAATAAAATTAATCCACCAGATTCTTGTTCACAGTGGCCTTGCACAGGACAGACTCAAACCCTGCAGCAATCTGACTTCTACCCTTAAACTCCCTGGCACTCCTCCTGGAACCCCAAGGGGATCTGTGTGTATATGGGGATCAAAGGAGCCCCCTAGACTCTCTCTCCTCTTCCTAGTCTGTCCATTGAAAAAGGTTTACGATATGCCGACGTGAAAGGGATAACCAATCAGAGCACAAGTTCCACTCCAACTGCTGGGCAAGGCCACAAGTCAGGGTCCCCCATGACACCACCCAACATCAGCAGGGGGTATCTACAGTGCAGCATGATGGGCTTCTGAGGATGCTTGGCTATTTACACATCTGGATAAACTTTTCATAAACTCCGAGCACTGTTCCCCCCTTTGAGAGGCATAGTTTACATCGGAGGACGGGCCAGATCGTTTTGGGCGGGTCCTAGCTCTTTACCTCTATTGAATGGGAACAACAGGGCGAGAGTCTTACAGGAAGTGTTTCCCCAGGTGGTTTCCTCCTGGTACAAGGCAAGCACACATTCCATCCTGTTACTGTCTGAGGTCCATCTGAATGGGAATGGGACCCCTTGGGCCTCTAGCCTTCCTGCCACACAAGCGTAATAATCGCTTTTACTCAGGGCGTGTACAGAATATTTAATCCATTCCAGCTGGGCATTCGTTCTCTTATATCCTACTTCTATTTGCGTAGTGGTGACAGTGGTCTAGGGCAGTGGTCGGCAAACTCATTAGTCAACAGAGCCAAATATCAACAGTACTTCTTCAAAATAGACTCGCCCAGGCCAAAAACCGACTTCTGTGCATGGGCCATGAAGTTTCAATCGCACTGTTCATGCGCCCACACGTGGTATTTTGTGGAAGAGCCACAC